TGCTTCATACAACTGATTCTGCTGTTTATTATTACAAAATATGACCATAAAGTGGCTTTATAAACAATAAACTTCCTTAACTTTAAATACTCCTATATTGTGTATTAATTTAACTGTTAAAAAAACATCAAAACTCCCGGGGGACATTTTCCATAACTGCATCCCTCTGATTTGCCCTCGCAATCTCATTAGTTCATTTTAGTCACATCTGTATCTTATCACACTGTCTCGTACTAGAGTGTGTGTGTGTGTGTGTGTGTGTGTGTGTGTGTGTGTGTGTGTGTGTGTGTGTGTGTGTGAGTGGGAGGAGTAAACCATGCATGGCCCACGTTTTTCCTGCTGAAGTTGGCACTGTGAGTTACAGCCACTTCAAAGTCTGGTGTAAGGGTCTATTAACCATTGGTAATTGAAGTATCACTTTAAATGGCACTGAGTATGCTGCTCTCTCTGGACTATAAAAGGAAAAAAAAAGTTGCATAGAAAACATAGTTTTATGAAGTCCAGCCTCATTACTAGAATGAAGGCGGTGACATTTTGGCAGTGGCTGTGTAATGATTCTATAGCAGGGCTTTCCATGAGGGTCCTATGTAACATGCTGGCTGTAATTTCCTCTCTGTGTTCACCTGTGTTTTGTCAGCTAGTAAATTTGTCATGAACAAATTGGACGGTTAAACTTGTCAGAGAAGCTGATTGCTGTTGAAATAACCTTTACTTTAAGTGCTCATTTCACATATTCTGCCACTTTATTTTCAAATGGCCTCATATAAAGTCCAGATGCTACCAGCGCTTTCACACTGTACATTCTGTATGAGCAGGAAAACCTCTGGGTCCATTTACTATGACCGAGTGATAAAAAAAAACAAAAAACAGTGCAAATATCTTTAAATGACTGAATAGATGAGTAAAACACAGTGATCTGCCCCATAAAAAGGCCTGCACCACTGCTTTTGTAAGGCTACATATATCTGTATGCAGACTAGTTTTTGACTATAAGCGTGGTTGCGTTTTACGTTCAGATGCTGTTATCTCAAGCGTTAAATGTAGCATTATAAAAGTGCAGTTGGCACATTTGGAAGCATTTACATAAATCACACTTTCATGACTGTCTTCTTTTAAGCAGGCAAAAAAAAAAAGAAAGAAAAAGAAAAAAAAGGGTCCTGGAAAATCAAATTAGGTTTTCAGAGGTTTGCGTTTTGCTTTGCCAACCTCAATATAATAACTGTAAAACTATTACAAACTGAGAAGTGTTGGTGTTGGCAGCTTGTCAGAGCAGGGGCAGTAAAACAGTGCCATTTGAGACAGGTTGACATTTCATTTGTATTTCTCTGATGAGAAGCGGCGCTATCTGTTAATAATCCAGAGGCATTACCAACAACACACGTGTAAGAATGAGGAATGGTATCATTTCTTTGTCCGCTGTATAAAAAATAACATAAGTGTGATTGGTGCTAAGAAGTTCATTGCTTTTCCATTAGTATGCCATTTTGGGCCTGGGTACCTTCCAGTACTGTCTGTGCACCATGACTTGGAAATATTACTGTGTTCGAAAGAATGCATTTCCTAGGTTTTGTCATTAAAAAACAAAACAAAACAGATGATCAATAAAAAAGAACCCGGCATTAAATTGCAGCTGATGATTGTTAAAGGAAAAGCCACTGTGGACGCCTCAGGTGGGAGAGATGCCTTGGTCAGTGGATCCCCCGCAGGCAAAGGCCAAAAAGAAAAACAGCAGTTATAATTGCAGGAGTCCCGAGTCAATCCTGCATGTTTTATTTGGTTAGTTTCTCTCAACGAGCTTCTTTAACTACCAGTTATAATGTATGGAGGCCTCAGGCAATGTGCAAGTAAAACAAATCACACAGAAGGTATAGGGGTCTCTGTTGGGGAATTATTTTTCACATTACTTTTGCTGTTGCGAGGATAACTTTGCTTCTTTTAAATTGGTTACTTTCTGTGGGAAGCTGGGAAGCGTGCCAAACTCACTAAAAATAAAGAAATGAGAAGAATTTAATCCCTATCGCAAACACGCCAAAGCCAGGGAGAGATTAAAGGCCGCTTCCGAAAAAATAACATTCCTGGAGGCTGGACAATAATTTCAGTTATACCACGCGATATTTTGTTTTTGTACACGCGAGACTCATTCTCAGGTCGGGAATGAAAATTGTTGCTTTTGTTTTGTATCATTTCATTCAGTAGCTGTGTCACTGAGGAATTTCTCCAGCCAGAAATAATTTAAAGTGATATTTGGGGTCACTAATGAAAAGGCTACTGTTTCCCCACTACACCCTGGGCAAAGTTAAGTCAAACTTGCTGATATCACGTGGGATTAGACAAGGTTCATTTATTCCTCTGGAAAATTATATTTTAACGAATGAAACAAAATACATTAAATTTCATTTTATTTCATTTATTTCACACTTGGTACAACAGTTTCCACAGTTAGTTCTTTCAGACAAACCAACCACACTTTCTATCGATATAGCACTGTAAATAAACATACATAGCATACCATTGAAATGCAGTTAGGTTGATGGAAATTCTGCCAGTTCTGCCAATATAATATAGACTTGCTGACCACTTTATTAGGTACGCCTTACCAGTACTGGGCTGGATTTTTAGCTTCAGCACTGCTTCCATAGATTCAACAAGTTGCTGCCTGTATTCTCCGTTTCCTGTTCTTAGCTGACAGGAGTAGCACCAGGTGTGATCTTCTGCTGCTGATGATTCACGGTTCAACAGATTGTGCATTCAGAGATGCTCTTCTGCAAACGAGTGTTTTTTTTGTGTTACTGCAGTTTGAAGCAGTCCGACCATTCTGGAAACAAGGCATTTTCACCTGGAGACTTGCTACTTACTGAATATTTTCTGTTTTTAGTACCATTCTCTGCAAACCCTAGAGACAATTGAGTGGGAAAATCCCAGTAGTTCAGCACTTTCTGAAACACTCAGCCTTCTGGCACCAGCAACCATACCACAATCAAAGTCACTTAAATAATTTTTCTTCCACATTCTATTCGCTTTTGCATATTTAGAGTTGCTGACATGTGATTGGCTGATTAGACATTTGCATTAACAAGCAGCCAAACAACTGTACCTAATAAAGTGGCTAGTGAGAGTAGAAACATCAGTCAAAGTGGGTGTCATGAACTGGCTCAAAGTTCAGACAATAGAAGGGGTTTGGTGGAATCTGCACAGATAAATGCACAGTGGGTTAGACCTTTCAAAGAAAGAAAATAAACCCAAATCATGCCTGCCTGCTGGGGAGACGAGAGAATGTTAGCTACCAAGCCTTTTTAAATAATTAGCCAACTGGCAATAGGTATGCTTTCTCTAAAGAGCCGCCTCACACCCTGCATGCCTTTTAGAGAAAAACAGAAAGGAAAGACAAGACCAGACAGACTGGGCAGTGTTATCATGCAAGTGATGATTTAATACATTCATCATTTCAGAAGCAAAGAAACACAGGCGAGGCTACGTCTGTGTGGTATTCACTAACGAAGCAGCACCAAAGTTTGGACACGGCAGCAGATGCTGTTATTTACAGTCCACCTGATAGAGTTCTTTGTTTCCTTAGTGAGTGAATATTAACCTCCCCACCAATCTCATTGCCTACATAGTGACCTAAATATGTATTCAATTAAGCAATAGGGGTGCGATCCTGGCTCAAGAGTTGGGTGTTCGTCTTGTAATCGGAAGGTTGCCGGTTCGAGCCCCGGCTCAGACAGTCTCGGTCGTTGTGTCCTTGGGCAAGACACTTCACCTACCGCCTACTGGTGATGGCCAGAGGGGCCGATGGCGTGATATGGCAGCCTTGCCTCTGTCAGTCTGCCCCAGGGCAGCTGTGGCTACGACTGTAGCTTGCCTTCACCAGTGTATGAATGTGAGAGTGAATGAATAGTGGTATTGTAAAGCGCTTTGAGGGGTCCCGAAAAGCACTGTATGCAATCCATTATTATTATTATTATAAAAAATAGCTCATGAAAATCCCACACTGCAGCAGCTTGTAGGGTTGTTGTCTTGCTGAACCTGCATTCATCTCTCCCTCAACCCTGACTAGACTCCCAGTTCCTGCTGTTGAAAAACATCATGGCATGATGCTGCCACCAACATGCTTCACTGTATGGATTGCATTGGCCAGATGATAGTGCTGCCTCCAAATTTCCTCCAAATATGATTGGCACTCAGGCCAAAGAGTTCAATCTTTGTTTAATCAGACCAGAGAAATTTGGTGACCATGGTCTGAGAGTGTTTTGGGTGTCTTCTGGCAAACTCCTGGCAGGCTGTCATGTGCCTTTAACTGAGCAGGAGCTTCAGTCTGGCTACTTGACCACACAGACCTGATTGGTGGAGTGCTGCAGAACTAGATGTCCTTCTGGAAGATTTTCCTCTTTCCACAGATGCTGGAATAATGTCAAAATGACCACTGGGTTCCTGTTCACCTCCCTGACTAAGGTCCTTCTACCCTGATCACTCAGATTGGCCGGGCAGCCAAGCTCTAGGAAGAGTCCTAGTGGTTCCAAACTTCTTCCACTTACAGATAATGGAGGCTACTGTGCTGACAGGGGCCTTTTCTGTATCATTCCCCAAATATGTGCCTTGATATACTCAGATGTCTGTAGACAACTGCTTGGACTTCATGGCTTGTTTTGCCCTCTGACATGCGCTGTCAACTATGGGACCATAGATAGATAGGTGTGTGCCTTTCCAAATCATGTCTAATTAACTGAATTTACCACAATCAAGTTTTACAAACATCTGAGAGATGATCAGAAACTGGAATGCACATGATCTCAATTTTGAGGATAAAAAGAGATTATTATTTAACTGTTATTTAATACATTTTATAGAATTATCAATACTTTTTTATGTTTGTTTCATTGTATTCATTGACAAAATTTCTGACAGACAAAGCTACATGAAGCACTGACTTTGACTTTGATAATCATTATATCAGATCTGATATTGATGGCTCTCTCCTAATTTGAGCAGATATTTGTTAATTTACCTTTATTCTGTTTTTATTTGTTAATGTGATGAACTGGGTAGTGATCATTTTGTCTCTACCTCGTCTCCTTTCTGTCATGTCCGCCTGGAGGTTGCGAGGCCAGTTGTGTGTCCGAACAAAATCCACCATGGCGTCAGCAAATGTAACACTGGAAAATCAGTTGCAGAGTGCACAGAAAAACCTGCTCTTCCTCCAGCAGGACCACGCCAACACGCTGAAGGGGCTGCATGCAGAGATCCGCAGATTACAGCAGCAGTGCACAGGTGAGAAGGGCCACAAGTAGGACTTCACGCTGCTGCGGAAGACCAACACATTTAATCTCAACTGGCTCTCTCCTAATTTGAACAGATATTTGTTAATTTACCTTTATTCTGTTTTTATTTGTTAATGTGATGAACTGGTTAGTGATCATTTTAATTGTTGATTAGAGAATGTGACTCTGTTAGTGCAGCGAAAACGAGAAAGAGAGAGTGGAATGTCAAAACATGTGATAAGTGGAAGGAAAAAAACTGTTGCTGTTGTTTTACCGCCTACACAGTAATTGAGAGGCAATACTGCCCCCTGCTGCCCCTCAGCTGAACTGTCCAACAGCTTTCGTTCATTTTTATTTTTTCACGCAGTCCAGGCGCTTTGACATAACAAAACATCAAACCTAGCGCCTGAATAAACTATCATAAGCATCAAGAAGTTATGACACGTCACACTTGACATAACAACTACTTACTTCGACTCTATCACTAGATAGCATGTACGCCTCACCCCTTAACAAGTGACAGTTTCTGTTGCTATGGTGATGACGCTCTCCCCGTAAACGGTGGCACGTCCGTAAGAGCTGCTACTTCCACATTTAATGACGTTTAAAGGTTAGTAGACTCTATTCTACTTTTACGTGAGCTGCTTAGTTTCAGCTCACGTAAATTTAAGCTGTGATTCTAACCTTTAACTTTAATGTAATTGGTCAAAAGTCACTGGTCTGGAACATTTTAGGGTTGTATCGCTTAACGTTCGGGTTTCCCATGATGCACCGCTTTATTTTGTCTAGTAGCTCGGGGAGATGATAGGAAACTGACACAGCCACCCCTCTCTTTAACCCAGCGGAGGCGAACCCCTGACAGCAGCATCCCTGACATGCCCCACAAGGCGGACTGCGCTTAGCCGGTGTGGCTAGTCGGTTTATCCACATTTCCCGATATTTTAGAAGATATTCGACGGCCGCGTATTTTTAGCTGTAAGGTAAGCTCTCCGCCATATAACGTTAAGGTACTGTTGTAGCCTTGTTAGCAGTTAAGCTAGGCTAGCATCAATGAAAGCCTCATAGCTTACGTAGTTACCCCGTTTTATTCGAAGGAGGCTATCGGCACATTAAAATATATGTTTCGTTATATGAAGCTGAAGCTAATTTTTGTGTGCTTCAGTTTTATTTGGGATTAATCTAAACACACTCAATAAAACTACATTTTAACTTTTAAATTGTTTTGTCTATTCCACGTCAGAAAAAGCCTTAATGTCGTTAATAATGGCATGGCACCTGCTAATGTGTGCGCATTGCTGCAGGACTTTCATCGAAAGTACGGATAAGCCCTGTTGGATGTATTCAGTGTATCCCGAATTTACCTGACCACCTCCACAAAGCTAAATAAAACCCCATCTTCATGCTAGGATTAGTCGGTTGCTTTGTGCGTGCAGCAGGCTGTTTTTAGGTGATTGTAAAGTGTGGTTTGGTGTGACCCAGCAGAGAAAAAAATGTACTGTTTGCTGGACACTGGTCAGCTCCTCCCTGGACCACAGTCGCACATAGCATTGGTTTGCAAGGACAGCCTTTGTAATGACCCCTTGAAACGCAGCAATGGCATCCAACAGCACGCGGAGTCAAAAAGACCACAGAAAGTGGGGTGTTTTGAAGCCTTTCACTTCCACCGCTCGCCAGGCCTGATTTACGACTTTCTCTTATTCGTCGGTACAGATAAAGAAGGTCAAGTCGAGAATTAAGTCTCTGGATGAAGATGAACGTTAAAACAATGATCCTCTGCCAGCTACCGCTAGGACCAGCGGAGGCTTCATTTAGGGGTGCTGTCCGCAATGCAGGTGCTGAAATTGAAAAAGTGTGGTGGAGCGCAGTCTAATAACACGTAGCGTTATCTGTCCTGTTGCAGTTGCAGGCGTTGTTTGTAGTTAGACCACTTAAGCTTTAGCTGCCTCTGTTTTCCTTTTAATGCTTTTGTTGATGACATAAACATGACTCTCTGTGAGAACGTGATTATTGTGGAGAGTAACCTAGACTGCATCTTTCCATAAAACACAAGCAACAGATTTAGAGAAGATTCTGGAAGGGAAGCTTCTGTTTACAGTGTGGAATCCAAGGTTGAAGGATGCACGTTTGCGTGCAGTTTCAGCGTCATTACAGGGCGTGACAGCGAAGGAGTTGTGGCTGAGGATAGTAGCTATTTTCTAATGTTTCTTTCGTTCTGCTGCTGCAGTTCATTGATTATTTATATTCTCTGTGTGGGGAAATACTGGTTGCTACATTAGGAAAAGAGAGTCAAGTAAACACGCTCAAATGGCAAGGATTTACATCTTAGAGGAACTGTCTTTCTTTAACTCACTGAGCATCCATACACTTTTTGAATCACCTCCATGCTATGGCATGAGCCATATTACTAAAGTTGGCTGAGGTCACGTCTTTGCAAGCGGAAAGCTATCAAAGCTATTCTAGGAAGGAGATGGGATGAGAGATATGCTTGCAGCGCAGGGTTTACCGGAAGGACCACACATTACTCATCAATAATAGATTATCTCCTCAGCCTTTGTGACACACCCCCAGCTGTATGTGCCAGGCTGTGTTTTGGTTATCACATGTTTTAATGGCAAAAACACACAGGCGCGTGAGAGCTAAAACTAGGGAGCATGTTAGGTCAGGTGCATGGGATGTATTATTCATATAAATTAGATTATGTAAGAGTGGGAAGCTCAGAGATGTTTTATTGAAACACACTTATGATTGCAGTCAGAGGCTGCCTCTGTATACAGGAGGGGATTTTAGCGGAGATCAGTGTTCTCTGAAGCCTCAGCACAGTTTAACAGAGGGTGGAGATATTGAGACTCGCCTCTGGAGACAAGGATGTTCAGTGAAGAGAGTGTGGAAGAAGGTGGGGCAAGCCACACCCAGTGTCACTCACTGTGACATCTGTTAATGTGTTCAGCTTTGATTTAGTGTTATGACTGATGGTGTTATGGACACTTAATGAGAGGATTGTGTTATAGAGACATATGTTATGCTGTTTCACTGTTGGGGTCTGTTAGATATTCTGAATTTGAAAGACTCTCTCACAGAGGAAAAATATTTCCACTGCGTCGCCTTATCAAATTACAAGATAATATGTAAATTGGATTAGTACGTATTAGATTAGTGTTACCTTTCAGATGCCTTTTTTAAGGCCAGCAGGGCCCACTCTGGATTATAAATCTATAGCCTAATTTCAGTGATTGGTCGTTAAGTACAGCAAGCCATTACTGTTGCCTGGCCTTTCTCTGCTATAGTCTCATTCTAGCATTGACCCAGGCAATAATGATATCCGACACAGCTACCGTGCATAACAAACAACAAACAGAGTTGACATTTTTGCCTTTGGATGATCAGTTTAAATGTAAAATGCCCTTCTTTGTAAATGGGGTTAATGGTATCATCCCGTATGTAGATTGGCTGGTTTGCTTAGAAAGCAAAGTTAGACCGTATCCTAAATCTCACGTTTACAGCCAAATGGTTGAGAATTGATGTGATCACTTTTTTTATGGTCCTCTTCTCTGTCTCTCTCTTTTTTTACTCTCTCTGTCTCTACCTCGTCTCCTTTCTGTCATGTCCGCCTGGAGGTTGCGAGGCCAGTTGTGTGTCCGAACAAAATCCACCATGGCGTCAGCAAATGTAACACTGGAAAATCAGTTGCAGAGTGCACAGAAAAACCTGCTCTTCCTCCAGCAGGACCACGCCAACACGCTGAAGGGGCTGCATGCAGAGATCCGCAGATTACAGCAGCAGTGCACAGGTGAGAAGGGCCACAAGTAGGACTTCACGCTGCTGCGGAAGACCAACACATTTAATCTCAACTGTGGTAGGGAATGCTCATGAATTTAAAACAGAGTCTTTTGCTGAACCTAAGCTTATACCTGGAACTAAAGGTCAGCAAGATGATGCGTTTCCAGTGCTAAATATGTCTGAAAAAATATGGCGACTTACTGGCAGTAATAGATACACGCAGCAGACATAAATATGGTCGCCCAGGAAAAGGAGAAAACAGCATGATCTGCCCCTGACTTCCTGTATCCAGGGCTAACCTGTTTACTAAAGCTGATGATGAGCTCTCACTAATCTTATTAAATGAACACTGCCATATGGAAAGCACAGACATGTTTTCCCCAAACTTGCTTTGCTGTTAATTAGTATGTGAGGAGCATGCTGTTAGATAGCTGCCCTGTTCTAGCCTCATGTAGCGCAGGCATTGTGAATAACCCTCTTCTTTTTCTTTCATAGACCTGACGTATGAGCTCACTATCAGAAGCTCCGATCCCTCAGGTAAGCATCATTTGTAGTACACAAGCACCAGTTATACCACTGGCATTCAGCGTTGTTGTCATGAGTTAGAGATGCCATTAATTTGTTGTGGAAAGGTGATTACTGCTAATGCTTTACACGCTGTTTTGCCCAGTGTGAGCCCTTTGGTCTAGCCCTTTTCTTTTTAGACCAGTCAGTCTTATTAGTTCAATCTTCTGACATGACACTGGTATTCTGACAAGAGCAGCTAAAAAAAACTGTTTCAAATTATACTCACTTCCCCCAGGTAAAAAGCTTTTTTATTTTTTTTATTCTTTGTCTTTTGGGTTTTATAATGATATATTACATTTTCTGTAACTCCTTCAAACTGTGCAGCACAAAACCCCCACAGCAGTAAAGGCTGTAAATCAGTGTTTTTTCCTTTGAAATAGAGGTCTGTGTCAGTGGACAGGCCTGGGAGCACAGCACTCTCCCTGTTCCCACCCAAGAAGTATTGCAGTGTGGGCCTCCCTGCTGTTTATTGCAGCTCCCATTGCTCATTGCCACCTGCCCCTCCCCCATAAAACCAGGGCCATGACATGGAGTGACATCACTGGTCTGAATCACATGCTGCTCCACAGCACAGCCTCAAAGGCACCTGATAGGCAGAATACAATTTAATTTATGTACAAACTATCGATGGCCACACTGATGTGTGCAAGTGAGTATGTCACCAGGAGCACATTACGTTGTTGGTGTCCTTAAAGGCCCAGCCTCAATCAGTATTGTCAAGGCCTCCAGTCAGAGGCACTATCATGTTAGTGGGGGACATCTCAGAGATTGGAGTGCAGGAAATGAGATTATGTGTCACAGCACTAATGCACACACTTCTAAATGCTCCCTTTAGCAGGGCCCAGCTGTTCTAGCTGTAGCAAACATGTACCAGCCCCCCCTTCAGAAAGTGAAAAAAATGATATAATCATTGCTGTAACCACCCTTGTATTTGATTAGACTGAATGAAGGAATTGCAAAGGATTGAGGAATTCTACTGAATAAAAAATACACAAATGTGCTTCATTCCATATTTTTTGCACATATACAAACATAGCTATACATTGATTGTACCTGGGTGGGGCAAGGCTGGGTGGGGGCAGCAGTGATGGAGATCACATGGGAGTACTCTAGCTGTCTACCAGAGATGTAATGTGAGACAGGAGCTCTCTGCCCACTGCAGATGAGTCTCTGTAGGATCATACCATCTCTGTCAGCCTATAGTCAGCGTCTGCACTTAATGCACTAATGATTAGTCTGGTGGTCTTTGTGCTTACATACATACACACACACAC